TGTCTGTGTTAATTTCCTAATTTGGATGGTATGTGGCCATGTAGGAGAATGTCCTTATTTGCAGAAAATACACACAAATATTTGGAGATAATAAGGCAACATGTCAGCAATTTATTCACAAATGTTTCTGAAAAAAAATTGTTTGCCCTACACTTGCAGATTTTCTTGAAGATTTAAATTATTTCCAATTTTAAAATAATTAGATATTCTTGTCACTAATTATTCCATTGTCATGGGAAAATTCATATCTATTGTAAGCTACCATGAGAGCTTACTGTGTACCAGACTCTGTTCTGAATAATTTTATGTGTATGAACTCATAAATAGATGGCAGGAAGCAGAAAGGGAGGAGAAAAGAAAGGCATTTTAAGGTCTAGGATTGCAGAGAAGTTTTCCTGCTCCTGCCAGCTCTAACAGCTTATCCCATGATCTGTGGCTAGACATTTCTAGGAGCCATAATACTTAGAAAAAGCATTCTTTGGGGAAGAAAACAATGAGTATTGGACAGTAAAAAGAGATGGTGAGACAGTTCTGGGCTTGGATCTAATGTTTGTCATTTTCCTGGCTACCGAAAGATACATTCTCTGATGTGGGACATTGTCACATGCTCTCACCAGGTTCCAGGGAGGGAAGGCAAGAAAGAAGCAGCTCTTTACCTCACCCCCTCTGAGAGGTAGGGCTGAAATTCTTTCTTGTCTCCTTTCTGGCCCCAGGTACTCTCTCGCCCCTGCCCCTTTCTTCTTAAAGGAGACCTTCTGGTTATCAGAGCATGGAGCCCAGGCACCGTGGGCAGGTACGTCTAGCCTGCCCACACTAATGCCCTAGCCACCACCTCTACTAGTGAACCTTCTCATGAGACCCCCTGTGTGTAGGAATGAGGACAGAACAGGAGTACTGGGGGACTGAAGCCAGAGGCTAAGACAAGACTGAGGAAAGGAGGGTCTGCACAAAGGACTAGACCTTTCCAACTTCTATCCAGGTGAAGTTCACCCAGCTCTCTTAAACAGACACCCTTTGTGTTCCTGTTCCTGTAACCAGTCTGTTGGATATACTGCACTCGATAGAGTTCAAGGAGAAAGCTGCTTCATTCTTCTTCACACAGCCTTTCAGATAAGCTCCACCAAGCTATTCCCTCCTTTATTCGGGTAATAAAAATTGCAATCTCTCATTCAGCAGTTTCCTCTCCCACAGCTGGGGCCAGCCTTAGGTTGGGAAATCTGTGTGGGGCTGAGTAATGGGTGGGCTTCTTGGCCATTGCCCACCTTGCTCTTGCATTCATTCTCCCTCTCACTGCTCCTCTGGCTTTCCCCAAGATTAGGAAAGAGGGAAGGAGGGGAGAGTTTCCTACCCATTTTCCTTTCCCGCCTCTCCCTTTAGTGACACAGTGGCGATGGGTGAGTGGAGAAGTTCAAATATAATTCTTTCAAGCCATATTTTTGTGAATTCCTCAGTAATGTCTCTCCAGGGAACTCTGGGCTGCAGCTGGCCAGCCCCCCTCACCTTACACTCTTCTGGGTGTGAGACAGTGAAAATTCCAGGGGACTCATATTAAGTTCATTGATGGTGTTCTTAAAACCTTCAGTCAGCTTGAAGTGAGGTTAAACTCCTCTTCCCTTTCCTAAGCATTTCCACAATCCATGCTCTGAAGGAATCCCCACTCTAATACCTCGCATGATTTGTCACCCAGCCTCCCCTACATACTTCCAGGGTAGCTGTCGGGCTATTACTGCAGATGTGGTCTTTGGCCATCCCATTTGCACATCCTGTGTAGATAGATTGTCCAGCTCCTCGACTTGCACAGATGATTGACATCTCTTGTTCTTAATTTTGGAGACTCAATGATCGAAGTCACATCATAAAACCTGTTATAAAACCTTGCATGCAGTCTTGATGATGTGCTAGACACATTTTTATTTCATTTAATGCTCATTAGCAGACAGTGGATCGATATTATTATCCTATTTTAGAGAGAGAAATAAGGCTCAGAGAGTCATAATTTGCCCACATTCATGCCACCTGATAAGACCAAGGCCAGAAGAAGTGTTATTTCTGTCCCCACCTCAACTGCCTCTTCGTAAAACTCTTCATAACATCTCTGCCTCTATCTCTATCTCTCTCCACCCCTCACTCACACGTACACATACACACACACACACACACACACACACACACACACACACACACACACACACACGACATTATGATGCTCTATCTCCCAAGTTCACTAGCAGTTCTTAGAGAATTGGGAATCTGAAAGACTCACGGTACCCACCACTCCTGGTCACAGCTGCCTATTAATTTAGGTCATTTACAGAAAAGAATGTGGGGGCAGCTTCAAAACTTCACATTTGCCATCTGCTGATGTCCACACATCTGCCCTGCTCCATTTGTAGAAGCACAACTATGCCTCTCCTTCCCTTTCACCTTCCAAAGCTAAACAAGCACCTCTCCTCAGTAGAATCAAATCTAGAACAATGCTGAGAGTTCTAGATAATGTGGTTCCAAGCTTTCAGCCCTCCAATAAAGAGAAGAGCAGACAAATGGTGATATAGGCTATTGCAAAAACACCATGTTGCTATTGTTTAAACTGGTATTTATTTGATTGCTGATGAGGTTGAATGTTTTCCCTAAACGTGCTTACTGTGTTTTCCATTTTGTGGTAAACAATGAACAAGTTATTGTTTAAACAAAGTTCCATTCTTGTAAGAGGGAAAAAGCCAATATAAATATATATAAACTTGTGATTTACATATATCTCAGGTGTCCCTGTTGAAAACAACTTAGGCTAACTCTTCGAGGTAGTAACAGGCACCACTGTTTTGTGAAAACTGCGCACACTGACCAGGAGGAGAATCACTGCTTCTAGTTACTGAGCCATTACTGGGAGCCAGTGCCCCACATGCTATCACATGGCATCCATTTTACAGGTAAACAGGACAGGTTAATATTTTTTAAGTACAGTTTAATATTTTTTAAATTCCTTGTGCATTTTCCCCTCACAGTAGTCCAGTTCCTCAGGGAAGCTCTGCCCCATATCAAAGCTGGAACCTGAAGTTTGCTGCCTCGAGGATGGTGCTGAGGGCGAGAATAAAGGAGACCATCTAGGAGAATTCTGAGGTTAGGAAAGTCCCTACAGAAGGAAAATAGGAGAATACTTCCCCTTATGACTTAGTGAAGAGCAGAAATGCATGATTCAGGCAGGAGCTGAGATGGTACCCCCACTACCCTAGGGTCAAAATTCTGGGCTGGGGGCGGGGGTGGTGTACACAAATCCCAAGTATATTTAGAGATTACTAAATCAGAGGAGACCATGGCCTGGCTTCCTAGGGTGTCCAGCAACCATGTCCAACCTGGCTTCTGAGCAATGAATTAGAAATAGTGAAGGAATTCAACATCTTCAGAAACTGGTGATTATAGTTAACCCTAAGGAAGGTAATATCTGGGAACCTTATAAAGGTTCTTCAGTCCTACGAATTCTGAATCCTGTGGATGCCCATGGTAGACAAGTTGCAAAAATGTTCACAATTACTCCCTCCCTGTATTTATGCACTTTTCAACATGATTCTGTAGCTCCTTCTATCAAGAGGTGAAGTCTGTTTTCCATCCTTTGAATCTGGTCTGGTCTGATGAGCTGCTTTGGCCAAAAGAATGTGGCAGATATGACGTCGTACCTTACAACTTCTGCTCTCTCTCAAAACTGTCCCTCTCATGTGAACAAGCCCAGACTAGCCTCCTGGAGCATGAATAATCACATGGAGGAAAGCTGAGATGGCCCAGGTGACAGCCAACCCCAGTAGCAGAGCTACCTAGCCAACTGCTGCTGATCTCAAGTGCTTGAGCAATCAATGGAGATGAGAGAAACCATGGAGTTGAGCCCAGACAAAATTATCAACTCATAGAATCACGAATTAAATACATGGTTATTGTTTTAAGCCTCTACATTTTGAGGTTGTTTGTTACACAACAATAGCTGACCAATACAATGCCTGATGTAATAAAATAAATTAATTTTTAGTAAAACATGGGAAGAAAAGAAACAACTGAGAAAAAAAATCTGCACAGAAGAGCAGATAATTCAGAAGGTCTCCTGGGAGGATGACATGGAGGTGCTGAGAGTCTGGTGGAATTTCCTAGACTGTGGTCAGTTCAAAGAAGCTCTAATATATGGGTCTCCTCAACAAAAGAACAGTAAAGGGGGCAATGGGATTTAGCAGTAGTGCCAATGTTAGGCCCGAAGGGACAGACAGAACAGGTCACACCTCAGCAGACCAAATGCAAAGTGCACAGGGACCAGGCCAGACCAATCTCCTCATGGCAGAATCAGAGCCCAAGCAGTACTCAGACCCAAGGATGCCATCCTGTCCCAGAAAGAAACTTCAGCTACCTTGGCACCCAGGACCAACTGGAGTAGGAAGGAGGGAGGGAAGCACTGAAAGCTTGAGCTTTTTTTTTCTTTCTGGAAAAGACTGAATTAACCTAAAAAAGAATGATGGCAATATATACAGTACTTACTCCACCCCATACATGCAACCATATTTTTATTTGTTTTACAGATTAGGAAACTGAGGCACTAAGTGCTCAAATGATTGTAGTGATTGGGTAAAGCTGAGATTTGAACCCAGATAAAGAGGCTGTCAGAACCTAGAAGAGCCTGGGTTTGCTTTAATTGGCTCAGAAACAAAGGCTCAGAGATGGCCAAGTGAGTTTGAAAGGTCGCACAGCCAGGAATAAGCAGACTCAATACTTGATCCAAAGTCCAGCTGACGTGGACACACACTATTTTAGCAATGCTCATCTCTCTTGTAGGCTGTTGAGGACAGAGTCTGTGACAACTGGTCATTAGGATCTACTGCTCAGACATAAAAGCCGGAAACCCCTCCGCTATGCTCCTTCCTCTTGCATCAGCAGCCTCATCTTGCTGTAGTGAAAACACTTCCCCAAATAGCCTTGGCTACAAGAAGCAGAAACAGCCTTGCCCACAGGACTCCAACACCCATCAGAGAGCAGAAAGGCCACCAGTCTCAGAAACAATAGGAAGTACCCTGTGCCACTCGTCATGCCCACCTCTCCCCGCCTGGCCCACTCGCCGCCCTACTTCCAGCTACTGGCACTGCTCCTTGTCTTCTCAGGTGAGTAGGATCTGGGACAGAAAATAATCCACCCCTGGCTGATCCCAGAGAGGGGTGCCAGGTGCTCTGGCATGCCTGGAGGGGCTCGACCCCACCAAGATGGAGAAAGAGGAGGGAGCTGAGAACTTTCCTGACCCCAGCAGAGCACAGACTCAGTGTTCTAAGAAGCAGAACTTCTTGGACATCGCAGTGAAATTAAGCTCCTAGGTTCTGGGCTCATGCCATCTGGGTTCTGGCTAGGACACTTGTGTGCCCATGTCAGATGGCATAGCTCTTCTACAAAGCAGCACAGCTAATGGGATCATTCTTTAGAAATGCGGTGAGGCTCAGCCCAGGGCTAGTGATGAAATTTGCAGGGCCTAGTGCAAAATGAAAACTCAGGTCCTTTGTTCAAAAAGTATTGAGAATTTTAAGACAGCAACAGCAAAGCATTAACACAAGCGCAGGGCCTATGTAACTATATACATCAAACGCCCATGAGGCAGCAACTGCTTTAAGTAACTTCTCTATGAACCTCAGTTTCCCCTCTCTTTAAACAGGGCTAATCATAAGACCTACCTCTAGACTTTGTTAGGAGGACGCAACAAAATAATATCTATAAGCATAGTTGACCCTTGAACAATGCAGGGGTTAGGGATACCAACCCCCATGCAATCAAAATCCACATGTACCCTTTGACTCTCTAAAAACTTAAACTGATAATAGTCTACTGTTAACCAGAGCCTTACTAATAAGCAGTCAATTAACACATTTTATATGTTATATGTATTATATATTGTATTCTTATAATAAAGTAAACTAAAGAAAAGAAAATGTTATTAAGAAAATCATAAGGAAGAGAAAAGAAATGTATAGTATAAGTGGACCCATGCAGTTCAAATCCATGTTGTTCAAGGGTTAACTGTACCTGGCACAATGTAAAGATTTAATAATTGTTGGCTATTATCATATCCATGTCTTCTCTAAGTCAGGATCAGGCTGCTTTAGCTCCGGAGTCTTGGGGCTTCTAAGTATTGCTTGGTCTCTAAACCCAGAACCCTCTGATCCACTAGTAAGAAGCTTGGCTCTCAGTAGGCCCATTTCATCTCCTGCCCATTTGGCTCCCTGCCCCAGGCCTTACTGAGATCTAGATACCATTCATCACACCTTGGGTCCTCCAGGAGGGTCACCCCCAGGAGGGGCCCTAGTGAAACCCAGGTGTGGGGCTAGATCTGGATGCTCCCTCACTCAGTGGAAATGACTTGGGACATCACTCATGTTGGACTAAGACCCACCCATGTGACCTCATTTTAACGTAATATCTATTTACAGACCTTCTCTCCAAATGCACTCACATTCTGAGGTACAAGAGTTAGGACTTCAACATATGAATTGCAGGGGCGGGGTGCACCATTCAACTTACAAATGGTAATCCTAACCTTTCTGTGCACTCAGTGTCTTCTGTTCTAAAGTGGGGATAATGCTGCCCACCTCATGAGAGCATTGGGAGGAATACATGTGATAATATATGCATTGCTGGGCATATGGTGAGCACTCAAGCACCATCTATTATTTTTAAGTTCTTCAATCATAAATTTGTTCTCTCCAGCCAGTTGCCTCATCTCCTCTTTCACTTCCGTCTCCAACAACACCCTTAGAGTGTCCTAAACCATTTGTTCTTGGCCAGCTAATGACTAGTTTATGTTAAGCTTGCCTCTTAGGGCTCCAAGTCCCTCCTTTCCAGTGCAAGGCCTTTCTTCCTCTATTGTAGGAGACTCTGCATCAAGCTACGGGAGTGAGTCGCAGGTGCTGCAACCTGAGGGTCCCATACTGGTGGCAGAAGGTGAGACACTCCTACTGAGGTGTACAGTGATCAACTCCTGCATTGATGCGATGGTAAAATGGGTCAAGGTGAGCAATCAGAACCAGCAGGAAATTTATAACTTCAATCACAACTTCTTCCCTGGAGTGACACCTCTGATCCAACAGACATTGGAGCCACTTAGTTGTGATTATTCCATCTATATCCACAATGTTACCAGAGGGCAGGCAGGAATCTACCACTGTGTGAGGTTTGATGCCTTGAGGGAGCACTCAGAAATACAGCTGGATAAGGGCACGTCAGTGCATGTAAAGGGTGAGTATTGGGCTCTGCTGTTTATAACATTCTGCTCTGACCTATCACTCTACATCAACTTTATCTGTGATCAGTTGTACACACAAAATCTCAGTGGCACACAACAATTAGTATATCTCACTCACACATTTTGTACACACAAAATCTCAGTGGCACACAACAATTAGTATATCTCACTCACACATTTACAGGCAGCTGGGGTAATTCTATTCTACATGTCTTATTATTCCAGGGCCCAGACTGATCAGAGAACATTTTTCTCATGAAGATGACAAAAGCACAAGAGGGCAAGTCCCAATATCCCCAGCACATTTCAAGCTTCTACTTCCATAATGTCTGCTAACAGCCCATCAGCTAAAGCAAGTCACATGACTCAGCTCAAAGTCAAGAGAGAAGGAAATACACCCACCACCATGAGGTCATGGAAGGAATATGGATGTACCAGAGGAGAGTCAAGAACTGGGGCTGATCATTTAATCTACCACACTGCCCAAAGTCATGCTATTTATAAGTTCACCAATAATGACCTTGATACCCAAATCCTGGGTCTGTCACTTAATAGAAGTGTATTCTTAAATCAATCACTTCGGCTCTACATACATCAAGTGTTTAACTTGTAAAATAGGCAACATAACTCTTACATCGAGGGTCATTCAGGTGATAAAATGGAAGCACAGATGTTTGTGAAACCGCCATATAAACTACAGACATAGAAAGGATCTACATGTGAAGGGGGTTCATTTTAACCTGAAGCAAGCATTTCAGGAAAACTTCTCTGACTCCTTCTAAGCTGTGGCAGGTTCTGGTCTGGGTCCTGCAGTCCTCTAGGCTTCCAACCTCAGAGGGATTTTCTAGACCATCTCTACCACCAGACTGAGACCTTCTTCAGGGCAGGACATTTGTGTGTCTTTCTGAGATTCATTTTCCTCAGTCCTGGCATCAGCACTGAAAACTTCTTTACTGAGTGAATCAACTAGTGAGTAAATGAGAGTTGTGGGAGGGAGTGGCTGAGTGAATAAACCAAGGAAGGGGGAAGGCAAGGAAAATATGAGGGAGGAAATGAGTGGACAGTGGAAAAAAAGAGGGAATACAACAATGACCTCTCTTTGGCTTCAGAAGCTGGGGATCTAGAGCCAAACCTCTGGATCTTACAGCCCCAGGAGCTGGTGTTGGCAACCACTGGAGATACTGTCTTCCTGAACTGCACAGTGCTTGGAGATGGCCCTTCTGGACCCATCAGATGGTTTCGGGGGACCGGTATGAGCCGGGAGGCCATTTACAACTTTGAAGGCATCTCCCTGCCCAATGTGACAGCAGTCCAGGGCTCCAACAGTGATTTCAGCATTCTTCTGCAAGGCGTCTCCACTGAGTATGCAGGCACCTACTACTGTGTGAAGTATCAGAGGAAACCCAACAGGCAATATTTGTCTGGACAGGGCACCAGGCTGAGAGTGAAAGGTGAGACAGGTGGTCTAGGAGGTATTGGAGGAGAGGGGGAGGTGGTCCACAAGGAACTTTCACCATGTCCCAAACGAGACAGCTGTTCTCAGCCTCCATGCCTTTACATAGCTGTTCTCTCTGCCTAGAATGCTTTCTCCTTTTCCATGGAGAATTCCTACTCATCCTTCAAGACCCAGCATAAATAGCCTCTTCTCTATGAAACCTTCTCCCTCTACCAAGCAGAGTTAATTTTTCCCTGTTCTGGACCACACAGAACTTTGTATAGACCATCAATCGACAATTCAACACACATTCAGTGCATGCCTGTTGACTGCTCTGCACTGTACTCGGTGCTACAGATACTGCAATGAACCAGACATTTTTCTTACCCCAGAAACAATTAAGCGAGTCTAAATAGTCCTTCGTAGTTGCTGAGTTTGGCTTCTCACCCCCATCTCAGATAGAAACTGACAGGCTCACCTTAGTGATCCCAGATCCAAGCACAAGGGCTCAGGAAGTGGCTGGGTCTAAATAGTCCTTCATAGTTGCTGAGTTTGGCTTCTCACTCCCATCTCAGATAGAAACTGACAGGCTCACCTTGGATCCCAGATCCAAGCACAAGGGCTCAGGAAGTGGCAGAACAGGAAGAAAAAGGGAATGCAAGACCACCTTTCTCTCTTGCAGCAAAGCCCACTTCTCCCCAAGAAACTCAAGAAACAGAGGTCATCAACCATCATATAACCAGGACATCACCGTCAGGTGAGTTTATCTACCTCCACTGGTGTTAACCAGTTCCCCGCAGGCAAGGGGGGCCAAAGAAGGCTTGGTCATCAGAAGGGAGAGGTCTCAGACATCTAGGGCCCATCCGCCACCAAGAAAGTTCCCAGGACTCCATTTCAACTGCAGAACCGGGAACCCAGAAAACTATGTTAAAGCTCAATCAGAGAAAGGACTTTCTAACAACCAGTGCTCACTGTTCAGTGGGCAGTCTTGCTTGAGAGTTAGTGAGCTCCCTGTGATTCCTTGCAAAGATACACTGTGAAACTGTGCATAACAGTTCTGAAGAAGCCAAGCTTCCTAGATTGACCCCCTTTCTAGCTGTGAGATTATGGGCAGGATACCTCACTCCTTGAATCTCTGGTGTACTTCTCTGTGAATTGGGGGAATAGGAGATAAGAATCGGAGAGCCTACCTCATGGGCACTCATTGAGTACCTAGAACTGTGCCTGTCACATCACCTGTTAGCACTCAGGGGCCCACAATAACTGGGGGGAATTGTGAATAGAGGTGGCCAGTTTAGCCTTCCGGATGCTCAGCCCTGTTCCTGCCATTCTTGGGAGCCAGACCACCTGATCTCATCATTTCTTTGACATACATGGCACTGAGCAAATCACTTCCCCAGTATGGGTCTGTCTCCTCATCTATACAAATTAGATTGCTATCCTACTTTGCAATATTAGTTTGAGGATAATATTAGGCAATTAAGAAGTGCTCAGCTCAAGACCTAGGACAGAGGAATGGAACAGCCAATAAATGAAAGCGGTTTTTATTATAGCAGGTCTTGAGTAATGTCATTTACATCATTTCATTATAATGTTGATAAGATGCCATAGGAACTTAACTCTTGTTTATGTCAATTAGCCTGTGGTAAATTTAGTTTTGTTACACATATTATATGTTTTGCTTAAATTCACAGAACCTATCAACAACGTTAAGTGAGGACTTACTGTATTGTCAAAGGTCAGGGATGCTATCAAAATGATTAAAGGTACAAGCAGGATAATGAACAAAGCCTTTCTGGGCTTGAGACAAAGGGAGAAAAAGACTATAGTTTCCTCTTCCAACACAGAAAGGATGTGGCCCCAGAGGTTATAGGGCAGCTGAGCCACAGAGGGCATTGAAGTGTGAAATGTTGAGGGCTCACCTGGGCTCCCTCCTGACCTCTCTTTTGTGTCCCTTAGGCCTCCTTTATGTGTTCACAATTATAGTCCTGGGGCTGAAGGCAGTGACCTTGGCTGCGCTCCTGCTGGCCCTGGCTACCTTCTGGAGAAGCCCTTGCAAGACGACATCAAAACCCCAAGCCCAGCAGAGCTATACTCATCTTAGCATGGGTCATGGAACATGGTGAGGGGTTAGTCCAAGAGTGGTCCTTTGAGTTGGAGAAGGGCCAGGGTTCTCCAACCATTTCTCTGCCTCCAATCTCAGCCTCCAGTTGTCCCCACCCACCCACCCCTGGCGTAATGACGAACTCCAGGATCCCTACACTTGGTTTCAGCTCACCTTACTTGACACTGGGCTCCCCACTGGTGTGCCTCCCTTTCTCTTCTCTTTGTTTTTCAGAGCCTTATCCAGGTATCTCTTCAAGGCCTTGCTCCTATTGCAGTCCCTTCTGGAGAGCCCTCTCTCTTTCTTCCCCTCTGCACATTTTTTCAACCTTCAAGATCCGACTCAGAGTCTTTCCCAGAAGGTATCCCTGAGCTTCTCTGAGCTCACCCAACCACACTGCCTGTGCTTCTCCATTTACATCCTTCTTTTCCCTTTCTTGCCTTTTTTCCTTCCCCACTGTGGCTGGCTTATGTGGCTGTAACAGTTGGAATGCAGGTTTGGCAACTTTAACAAAACTCTTAATGACAGTGGCTGAAATCAGAACAAAGTTGATTTCTCACATATTATCCGAGCATAAGCAGGCCAGGCAAAACAATGGTTCCTTGGTACTGCGACCCAGGGTTTCTTAATCTTGTTGCTAGCAGGTCCACAGCCTAGGCAGCAAGACCAGGAAAGAATGCAGTGAAGGAGAGCATCACTCTCCCCCTCACGGGCACTGCTAGGAATTTGCCCGTATATTACCTCCAATTGTCTGGAATGTGTCATATGGTCATACCTAGTTGCAAGAAAGGCTGGGAAATGTAGTCTTTATTCTAGCAGCAGTGTTCCCCAGCTGAAAATTTTCACTAGAGAAACAGATAGTAAATGTCAGTAGATACTGTAACCAGTAAGTTCCAACTCGGTGACTTAGAGGCAGCCTCTTACCTGCTCTGCACAACATCTGAATTCCATCCCAGCTGAAATGCATCTCATTGTGCCACCACCTCACAAAGGCAGAATAATGGAGGGCAGTCATTCTCAAGAAGAGGAGATTTTGACCCCCAGGGGCATTTGGCAATGTCTAGGGACATTTTTGGTAGTCACTATTTGGGTGGGTGGGGGGCCTCTTGGGTAGAGGTCAAGGATTCTTCTAAATATTTTGTAATGTACAGGGCGGCCCCTACAACAAAGAGTTGTCCGGCTCAGAGTATCAGCAGTGCCCAGCTGGAGAAGCTCTGATGTAGGGGAAAGCATGCATTTCCTGGAGTCAGACACACCTAACTTCTAATCCTCAAGGATCCACTACTCTTCTGTGTGCCCTTAATGACTAATCAGTCACTTCACCTCTCAGAATGTGGAGGATAATAACCTGGACTTCCCTACATTGTATGAGAACCAATTCAATTCAACATTTGCTGAAGGCTTACTATGTGCTAGATATACTGTTAACACTCTGGATATGTGAATCACCTTCTCAGACCTTTCCATGTGAACATTTATTAGCACCTACTATGTGGGGAAGTGGAGTAGTCTGGATGTTTTTCATCATAATAACAGAAAAATGAGTTGAATAAGCCTAAGACAATGGAGACATTACTTTAATCTAAAAATAGAATAAATCATTGAATTACCAGACATCAGAAAGCACAGATATGATGGCCTGAATAATGTCTCCCCACCCACACACACACCAAAATATCCACATTCTAATTCCTGGAACCTGCAAATATTACTTTATAGGGGAAAAAAAAAAAGACTTTGCAGATATAATTAAGGAGAGGAGAGGAGAGGTTATCCTCGATTATCCAGATAGGCCCTAAATGCCATCCCAAGTGTCCTGATGAAGAAGAAACAGAGGGAGATTTGACGCAATAAAGAGAGGGAGGCAATGTGACCACAAAGGCAGAGATGGAAATCACAAGTAAAAGAATGCTGGCAGCCATCAGAAACCGGAGGCAGCAAGGAACAGATTCTCCCCAGAACCTCCGGACACAGCGTGGCCTGCTGACACCTTGATTTCAGCCCAGTGAGACTCATTGTGGACTTCTGGCTTCCAGAACAGTGAGAGAATAAATCTCTGTTGTTTTAACCCACCAGGTTTGTGGTAATTTGTTATAGCAGCCACAGGAAAAGCATGAAACTGGGCCTTCGAAATAACAAGAGGTGGTTCCCTGTTCTGCCCTTGAAATCCTCCTCACCTTGCAGGCCCCTGCCACCTGCCCAATCTCATTTCCCACCACCACTCCTGGAAACGACTCTGCTGTGCATCCACCTGTGCCTTGACCACACCCTGTTCCCTAATTCAGCCAAGTTTCAGCTTAACTGTTTCCTTCAAGAGGCCTCCCCATACTTCCGTATCCACCATGACATCTGTCACTCTCATTTCCTTTATGCAGCTTAAGTTTTCTTCATAGCCCTTACTGCTACCTGAAATAAATATGTGTGTGTATTTCCTTGATGATTGTTAGTTGTCCCCACTAGAATTTGAACCATCTGAGTACAGAAATCCAACTTTTCACCATAGTAGTCCCTTTCATTCAGTCATAAAAAGCAGTTGAAGGCTGATAATGCACCACGCACTGATCAATGTGCTGTGAATAAAACAGAAAAGTCAGCTCTCAGCGCTTCCCTAGTAGGGGAAGATAGACAAAGAGTGAATAGACATAGATAAGTAATATGTCACATGGTAGTGAGGGTGATGGGAAAATAAGGCAGAGTGGGAGGATGGAAGGTGCCAGAGCTAGACAGAGGTGAGTCTATTTTATTTAGGGTGGTGAGATGAGGCCCCACTGATAAAATGACATTTGACCTGAGACCCGAAGGTAGTGAAGGAGAGAATTTGCAGCCATGTGGGGGAAGAGCTTAATAAGCACAAGGAACAACAAGAGCAAAGGCCCTGAGGCAGGAGTATGCTTGACATTGCAAGCACCAAGCAGAATGCTTGGCACATGTAAACCCCTATAAATATCTGAGATGAGATACAGGGTAGATGTGAAGTTTATGGTCTTAGCAATCTGACTACACAGGCTCAAGTATCAGTTCTCCCACTCATCTCTCAGGTTAGTTTGTTTCTTCCAGTGTGTCTTGGTTTCCTCATCCATAAACTGGTAATAACATTAGGACTTCCCTTCTAAGGTGGCTTTGAGGCTAAAATGCATTGGTGCGTGTAAAGCATTTACTGTGCCTGGCAAATGAGAAGCACTAAATAATTGTTATTAGGGGTTGACAGAATGAACTGCAGTCATCAACCTCCATGTGTCAGGAAATGTGGCAGCCTACAGTGCCTGGGCCCCTCATCTTGTGGCTTCAGCCACCAGAGGGCCCTGACACTCATTAGATTCAGCTGGGAAATCCTAGGGAAAGCTATTGATGTGACTTATAGGAACATTCTGAGAAGGTCCCCAAAAGACACAGAGAGAATGTTGGCAAATAAAACAAATGGTGGGTAACTCAGGGCCCTTGGTGAGCACTCAGGGGAAACCTTTTGATCTGCTGTTGACAGATCAAAAGAGTGCAGGATGAACTGAAAGTCTTGCTGCCCCTATTTTGGGGCCTGGGGCCCTGCACAGACAAGGTGGCCTACAGAAGACAGAGAGTGGGTGGCCACCAGGCTGCAGAAGCCCCCACGAAGGGCCAATAGGCTGCTCGTGGCTCATCTGGCTTGGGCCTTAGGATCTGAGCTGTGGCTGAACTCCAGGCCTGCCTGAATTGGAGCATCTATTTCTCTCCTTCCTCTTCTGTCTTCTCTTTTCCTGCTGTTCTTTATCTCTTTCCTTCCCCTCTCATGATTCTTGCCCCTCTCCTTCCCATCAAAGGCCCCCTACTGCCTCCTGCTGATAAGACCTAGAGCTGAAGGAGGTGGGGACACCACTAAACAGAGGCCTCCTGTATCTTGACACCTGGAAGATGGCAGCCCTCAGGGTCTGTGTTGGGGGAGGGGGTGAAAGGGAGGTACAAGGCCTGCTCAGGTACACTTCACTACCACCCATAAGACACATTGCACACAGCTCATTGTAAAGCTGTATGTCACTGGAGTGGGGAGAAGGTGGGGGATTCTAGGCCTAGTTAAGCATGGTGTCACACATTTCTAAACTCTTATCTAAATGGCACTATATAATGGCACTTTATATACATATCATTTCCAACCTTGCTCTTTTGGCTCAACATTTGAGATTTATCCAGGTTGGTTACCTGAAGCTCTTAATTCATTCATCTTCACTAGAACTAAAGTTGTTCCAGTTTCTCACTCTCACACATAGAAACAATTTCACTGTGTCTCCTGGGACATGCATGCCACCTCTAGAAACCAGACATGGGAATTGACCAGCCTTGTTCCATAGGCCAAGGAGAGATGGGGTGGCATGGTGGTTAGAAACACAAGCTCAGAGCTGCAACTCTTGGGTTCAAACTCATTTAAGAGTCTAGAGTTCTCTAACTGTAAAATGTAAATGATAATAGAACTCACTTCATAGGGTTGTCATGAGGTTGAATGCGTTAGTGTATCTAAAGCTCTGTTAAGAGTGTCCGAGGCATGGTACATACTCAATAAATATTAGCTGCCAGGTAGTGTGATAGGGGAAAGGTGCCCGGAGGCCTCTAGAGGAGGAGTCAGGGATGTTCTGGCCAAAGAAAGAGCTTTCTCAAGTGGCACAAAATCAAAGAGGGGTGATATCTGGGTTCGAGCACATGAATCCCAGCAGAGGAGCTGGATCTTGGAGAGGCAAGCACCCACATGTCTTTAAGACAGGGCAAGTTGTCATCAGTTTCCAGGGTGGAAACACTTGCTGGCACCCAAGCATGAGCATGGTCCAGAGCAAGCCTCCAGGTTCCTAGACTTTCTGAGAAGTTAGAGGATATTTCAGGTTGACACATTGATGAAGGGCACCAGGACTGGTATTGGGTCCCCTTGCAACAGAAAGAGAGTCTTGGACCACAAAGGTCAACTTCCTACATACCCGCCAGGACCTAGTAAAGCTGAAAAACCTGCTATCAAACCTGAACCTAGACCCTGATTCATTTGACATATAAACTTAAAGAATTTGTTGCCTAGTTTTAGTATATACCAAATTTCTCAGAAATGCAACTACTGTGTCAGTTGAGGCAGGACTGAACTTTAGATTGTTCACAACTTTATTAAGAGTTTTTTTACCATTTTGAAACATTATGTCATCACAGCAATGCACTTATAGTATTTTAATCACTCATAAAACAGCTCTGTACATAGAGGCAAGTATCTAGCTGCTTTATTTCATCTTGCATTATATTTGTACCTGAAGATTAAAATACAGATCATTTTACTACTAACTACTTTACCTTTATTTCTCTAGTTAGGATATGATGTTAATTTTTTTCAATGAGTGTATATTCATTTTATTGTCTCTGAACTCCATTTAAAGTAGTAACGGGGTAATACAAAATATTTCTTATGAAAAGGGGGGTGTGGGTCTGAGAAAGCTGTGAACACTAGGCTGGCCCATCTCCCACTCCCACTTTGCTCAAAGGTAGGCCCTGAAGCCCAGAGAGGGCAACAGGTCTGCTCACGTCACCCAGGTTATTCAGGAAGAGCCCAGCCCACAACCACAATGAACAATGAGGGTAGTGGCTTTGCAGCCACTTCACTTTGGGACAGCATATTTGCATATCTGAGGGGCAAGGCCATTTCTTCTTAACACAAAGGCATCTGCTCCATGGGAAATTAAAAGTTTTATTTACTGAAATTAGGTCATATCCCACAGTCAGCTCAATACTCCTCAGGAGTTCAGGTACTTGCCATGCATTCTTGTCTTCAGATTCCGACCTCTGCATTTCTCACCTGGATGCTCAGATACTCAAGGTTGCATTCATTCACTCCTCCATTAATTTGGCAAAGATTTATTAAGCGACTACTTAATGCCAGTGACTGCAGGTCGAGGGAGTCAAAATGACAGTTAACATTTGCTGAGGGCTTACTAAGTGTCAGACATTGCTCTCAGCACTTCACATTAAATCCTCTAACAGTAGATACTGTTAGAAGCTCCATTTTACACTCCAGGAAACTGAAGCATAGAGAGATAATCTGCCCAAGATCATATAAGCAGTAATACTGGGCTTCAAACCCAGGCTGAGTCCAGAGCCTGTGCTCTTAAGCAATATTGTGCCAGAGACAGCCACAGCCCCTGCAGTCACAGGAATTGTGGCCCTTGAGGTAGGGAGACACTTAACGTGGAGCCACAGGACATGCACAGGAGACTGTCTGATGGAGCCTGGGGACATGGAAAGGCCTCCTTGAGGAGGTGACACCTAAACTGATACCAGAAGGATGAGCAGAAGCTGGCAAAAAAAGAAGTGCATCCCAGAGAGTGAAAAGGGGCAAGAAGGCGAAGAAGCCGAGGACCTAAAAGACAGAATTGTATCTGGGAAGGTGCCCTTGTAGCAGAAGCCTGAAGAAAGTGAGGAAGCACCTTGCCTACCCTCTAGGGAAAAATGTTCCTGGCAAAGGGAGCAGCAAATGCAAAGATTCTGATGCAAATACATGTCTGGCAGATTGGAGGAACAGCAAGAATGGCAGCGCACCTGAGCAGAGGAAGCAAGTGAGAAGTCCAGCAGATGAGATGGCGGGGCTGGCACATTTCACAGGGGTTTTGCAGGCCCTGAGACTCATGTGGAGTGAAATAGGGAGTCACGGCAGTGTTGGGTGAGAGGAGTGACCCGTTGTTCAAGGTCTGTTTTTGTTCTTAGAATGTAAGCAACAAGAGGGCAGGGACTTGACTTTGCTCGCTGCTGATCCCCAGCCTGGGAAGAACAACGGGACCTTGATAATACTCAGTAAATATTTGAACAAGTGAATGAATGAATGACTAAATTAATTAAATGATGGAGATGAATCCATGTATAATTGTGAGTGACTCCTTTACAAATCTTGCATCCTACCTGTATGTTTAAGACCTGCCCCACCTCTCACCCTTCGCGCCGCTCCCATACCGCCGTTGGCCTGCGGGTCCGCGCCGCGGCCGCCAGAGGGCGGGAGCGGCGGAGATTCCCGCACGGAGAACTTTGCATGAGGCACCGCGTGAGGCGGGGCCTGTGGGCGGGCACCGGTCGGCCGGGCCGGGTC